ATTCACTGAACATACCATGTACATTCCCAGAAAATACACATGTATATTCACTGAACATACCAGGTACATTCCCAGAACATACACATGTACATTCATTGAACATACCATGTACATTCCCAGAACATTCAGTGTATTAACTCTGACAGATACCTGGGACATACATGGAATGTTCATAATGGAACTCATGTATGTCCCAGGAATATGCATGTACATCAAATGAATGTTCCAGGTATATTCTGGGAATATCATTTTGCTATGTGGGTTTTGTCAGGGCCGCAATGACGAAGCGACTAGTTCGTTGCGGAAAAATGAATAGCTTTTATATTAAAATTGATGCAATCTTGTTAATTTGTTAAGGAAAGCAACTAAAACCAATATTTCTTTACTTCAGGTTTTTCCGTGCCAGGCTCCGTTTCAAAGAACGAACTTGATCCGTAGAAAACAGATGCGGTAAGTAACTTTTCTAGATGAGTTTAGCATATTTGTTCTAAATTCTGATCATTTGCAAGAGTTTTTCCCTGATAAACTGTGTATTTAAAAAATGCTCAATTATAGAGTTTGATACTGTTCCTTAAGGGCAGTTAATCGTGCCACTAGTCCACAAAGTCGGTCCGGCTTAAGTAGGGTTTTTACCTTTTTGAAGAGGTTGACAACACACGACACAAACGAAGCAAGGCAAGTGGTAGACGTGTTGCTGAGCTCGCATCACCATCTCTTGGGGCAGCAATCGGTCGCCGCATCTCGAGCATTTAACCCCGAATATTCTGCAAAATAAAATCGAACACATTGATTAGACGGCGAAATTAAAACCCCTTGCTGGTTCTTGTAGTTGGCGCATTTGCATTGCAACGAGCTCTGAGGGAAATCGCAATTTTGCCCCAGCCGGAGCGGAAAATCCACCTGAACGCGCCCCGGGAATATAGACATGCTTTTCCATCGAAAAAAGAATAAAAATTCTTTAATAAAATATGCCTGCGCCCGCGAACCGCCTGCACATCTCTGTTAAATATTCGTTTGGGGCTTTGGGGCGTCTAATATAAGCGTCGCGAGGCGTCGGGACGTTTAATAACAGCCGGAGCCTTCTTTGTAGGGCCCCGCCATACGCTGTTCGGTCTATTGTGCCTCTCGGCACGACCAACTTGCCATCGCTATTGTTGCACACTTTCCGCAAGCGTCTGGATCAGGAACGGTTTTTAATTAATTTTTCTTACCTATCATAGTCAGCCTTGCAGTAGAGCTTCAGGTTGCGAGTGTAGCACGAGTGGGCGAGCAGACTTCCGCACACGCTGCAGCACAAACAGTGCTCGTGCCAGCTCGCATCGCTCACTCGCATCAGGTAGCGATCGTGGATTTTGCGTCCGCAGCCTTCGCAACTGTCCTGCGTCTGTTCGCGTTTGATTAAGGCTGCAGGATTCGGGAGTTCTGAAATTTGGACAAGTTTCTTCGTTAAAAGTTACGCCAGTAGCAACACGCTGTATGAACGGTGCTGAGCGGAATTAAGCCACATTAATACGTGTGGAATATGAAAAGTTTCACCCCATTAAGGGCACACGTGCCGACAGAATATTATCCAGTTCTGTAGGTTTTGCCAGACGTTTACAACCCTTTACAAGGCAAAGTTGCCTTTTATCCGGGATAATCAGCCGGCTCCAGAAGTTACAATGCCAAACAAATACCTTTAATGCCGAGAACAAGGCTGTGAATTCCATTTACATTAATCCCAAACTTCTCCAAAGCTACTCGACAACATTGTCCTTTTGGAGCGTTTTTTTTTGGGTTCTTCCAATAAATCTTAACTGACAATAAACGGGGAATGTAAGGTGCTGAACGCTTTTGTTGAATTAAATCCATACGAGCTCGGTTTTCCGGAAAAATATGGGCATATTTCACGGGCTTCGCCCTCTTGATGCCGTTGAGGGAGTAATTTGTTGCACGTGCCGACTGCCATAAAGTAGCACCGAAGTGAAACTGTCAAAGGGTCCAACCAAGGAAACCGAAATGGACCAATTTAACTTTTTCTGCAGTTGAATCAATACGCGATTGGCAACAGGCCATAGATCTGCCCTTTTAGGGCTCGGAAAGATGGAGAAATATGGTTTTTCTAATGGGAGAATGAAATGAGCAGATTCAGTTTTGCGATTTATCACCGAAGAGAGTTTGAAAACCTTGTCTTAGAGCCCCTTTATGGGTTGGGGTTGAAGGGATGAGTGCTGCCGCCAAAAGTTCAACAGCAGTACCAATGAAGTTATGCGTTTTAAGAAAAAAACTTCATTAAAAATGCGAATATATTTGATCCAGATCTAGGATCATAGGACTAATCGGAGAAATTGTGTCGAAATCAAGTTATGTATTCCGTCGCTCTTAATGATGCCACCAAAGAAGACGTGATAAATAATGCTTGACTGGAACGTGGTCGTTCATTTAGGCAACCTTTTGACAAAATATCAATCTGTCGAGGATCAGAATCTCATGAAAATTCGAGAAAAAACTGATCTGTGAGCTCATATCATCATCATCAAGTAGTAGTAATTTCCAAGTATGTATTCTTGAGCTGGACCGAAAGATCAACCAAAAGACTCAGAGGTGAGTACGTATCGAAATCAAGGTAGATTTTCCGTAGCTCACAATGATGCGAACAAGGAAGCATTCATAAATTGAATGTGAGTCTGCCATTGACACAAAATAACAAACTCAAATTGCTCAAAATTTCATAAACATCGAATGAAATCACGGCTTCGATAGCCAGCATTTAATCTAGTAAAAAAGTCTAAAAATGCATCCGATTTGTTTATCTTTCGCTGATAAACCGGTTTTTTTACGGTGATCATTCAAACGAAATGTAAACTGGAACTGGTCTTAATGAATGTTTCTCTGTGAGCAGGCGCTTTCTACAAAATACCCAAAAATGCAAAAATTGAAATTGAACGGCACAGCAATGATTGACACAAAGGGCGACCAAGTAAATGTCGAGATCATCGTGTGAATCGCGTTCTTCGATGGAAAGTTAAGGAAAGTTTATGCTTCGAAATGCATTTTCATTGTGTGATCAACTGTAGTGTGTTTGCTTTTTGCCGATTAATGGGTAGAAAATGAAGGATGAGGGCCCCAGCTCGCAGAAAGCTGGTAAGACTGATTTCTAATCTATCAGAGCTTTAGTTTCAAACGAGTTTAGTTTTTCGAAACGCAACTGAAGTTTTGTGGATTTTTTGCATTTCTTTTTTCTGTTTTGCTCGTTTTTAATAACATGGCTTATGATGAATTTTCGGCTCTACTAAACATATTTTATTTTTCCTTTTCAGATGGTGGCACGATGCAGCTTTCGGTAATTTTGCCATTACTTTTCCCCTGGTTGCCATGTAGATGTAGAACTTTTAGTCCCATATTATTGACTTCCCATAATCTAATTTTCTAGTTTCTAGATTCCGGATTGGGTTTTCCAGACTTTCTTATTTCATTTTTGTAAAACTAATTTAAAGTCCGATTTTGAACATTAACTCGCACTTTTCTATGGCATACTATTTTTTATATGAAGTTTTACAGTTTACAATGCAAAACAAATGTCGTTCTGCTGTGAACTACACATTTATTGTGCAAAATATTTTTTTTATCAATTATTGGTGCTTTTCTATTGTCAATTGCATTGGAAACTAAAGGGTTCTCGTATTCTTACTGCGGATTGCCCATATTTACAGAATTTAGCTTTTTTGCCCCGTTTCCCCACGATTTCGATGGTCAGGGTTATGTCACGTAAAATCGGGAGTATTCTGCTGCGAATACAATTCTAACTGTCTATTTAATTAGTGTTTTTCGGTTGTAAATTAAATTTTTCCCGTTTTTAAAGTTAATAATCTTCTGAATTTGAGAAAAAATCGGGCTTTTAAGTAATTTCCGCGGTCTGGATACGGACATCATTTTATTGTGTTCTTGTAGAAGTCGATGGCAATCAGGGTTGTAGTTTTTTAAATTTTTGTAAATGTATGCTGTTCGTATGTCCAGGTTTGTGAAGTCGCTTTAAGAACATTATGGACGGAAAATGGAGGATGGGGCGCCAGCTTGGAGAAAGTTGGTGAGGATAATTTTAAATCTATAATTCCTTTAGCTTGAACTGAGTTTAGTTTTTCGAAACGCAACTGAAATTCTATGGATTCTTCACATTTCCCTTTCTTCGACTTTGAGCAGATTTTCCGCAGCACTAAACATATTTTCTTCTTTCTTTCCAGGTGGCACGATGCAGCTTCCGGTAAGTTTAGTTTCGACGAGGGACGATTTTCTAGATTACATATTGGGTTTTAAAAAAAAATTGTTTTGTTTTTTGGAAAATTTATTTAAAGTCAGACTTTGGACATTAACTCCAAGTTTTCTATGGCAGACTTTTACAGTTTTAATGCAAAATAAAGCTTGTTCTCCTGTGAACTGCACATTCATTCTCGTGTAAGGTATTTTGTATCGATTATTGGTGTTTTTCTGTAGTCAATTACACCCAAAACTATACGGTTTTTTTTGTTCTCTATGGGAATTGCTCAGATTCATAAATTTCAGCTTTTCTTGCTCAGTTTTCCTACATTAAATGGTCATGTTTATGCCACGTAAAATAAGGCTGTTCTGCTGCGAACACGATTGTTAGATTATTGATAAAGATCAAGATTATATCCAGACTTGCTGCGGTTCTTCTAAATTTGAGTACTAAATTGCGTTGAAATTTTTGAGGAAAAAGCGGGAATTTTGAGGAATTTCAGCGCTCTGGATCCGGACGGTATTTTGGTTTGTAGAAGTAGATGGCAACCAGGGTTTGGTTTTTCTTTGATTGCATTTATGCTACTCGCATATGCAGATTTGCGAACTTTATGGAGTGGCTTTCCATTTCGCTTTTCCCGTATTTTTAATAGCGTTTTTTGAAAATGATAGTGCACTTTTGTTCGCACTTCAGGTGAACTTTTGATCTATTTTATCACGTCCAATTAGAAACAGGAAGTTATTCAGAGAATAAAATGTGTATTTTTATGAACATATTCTTACTTTTTACTGTCGTATTCTGTTCTTTCTATCTATTCTACAATTTACCAATGTTATTGGATTTATGGGATGAAATAATCCGGCAAGGAAGAAATATAATGAGCCTTAATTCATTGTAAGGGAAGGAAGTAAATTTCTAAGGCGGTTTAATAAATTCAGGAGCATTCAGGAGCTACGCGATGACCTAAACAAGGTGTATTTATTTAAAAAATGATTGCTTTCAACATGTTTTCATGCAAAATGCACACACGGACGTTTACGTCAACACGTAACGTACAATTGGTCAAACAATTTTAAATGGAAACCGTTCCTTTGCACCAGATAAAGTTCAAGTTGAATTGCTTAGTTCGATTAAAATAAGATGTAAAGGGTTTATTTCAAAGATTCACACGTTTTTTTCACGCATTTCTCCTTACTGGTCTATAAATTGGAATTTTTCAAAACACTGGAAAACGTGCGTCTATTCCACTTTATTCGAACACCCTGTAGGTTCAGTCCAGTGCAGCGCTGATGGGCCAAATTTAACGCGAAGTATCAGATTCTAGGAATAATGGAGAAGATGAATTCGATTTTCCTTATGATATACAGGGCGTTTAATTGAGGCCCCGTCGCGTTTTCCAAGGAGTTTCTTAATTGCGACACCATCTACTCTGTATGTTAGTTTGTGCGGGCAAAAATTCAAGAATTAGAATCCAAATTTAGGAAAAACAGCGGCAATCTTCTTCGAAAATATGCACAACCTTTACTTTTTGTGTGGAAGCTTTTTATTTGGGTGCTGCAGCCGACCGTTTGAGTAAGTTCTTTCGCTCAAACTATTCGAGGAAATTTGCCAAAACACTCTTTTAGGCAACATTTAAAATTCGTCTTGATTTACTTCTGGTTTTCGAAGTTTTTCAAAACATTCGAGGCTGATGGTACGGATTTTCCAGTGTTTACTTTCGAGTCCAGTTGATTCGAGCGCTCCATGCCCGAATGGATCTCGAGATATTCGGCCTTCTTTGCATGGAGAGTGCAACAAACATTAGCACCTTTCAGCCAGTATTTGACCCCAAATTTCGCTGTTTTCAACTGAACTTTTGCGTTTTTTACCTGTTCTGCCATTGCACTCAGGGCCGGTCATCGTGCCTCCATGTTCCGGCAGCATGGCCGGATTCAGGTTCATGTGATGCGGATAAAACTCCAACATGATCACCACTCACTCGTCCACACCAGCACCAACTCAACTGTTTTTCCAAATCAAAAATCGCGACGTTTACGTAGCAGAAAAAAAATTGCGACCCACTCTTTGCCACTGCCGATTAGCAACCCAACTGTCGCAGACGGATTGTCAATGCCAAAAGGGGGTTGCCGAGGTCCTCCCACCCCAAAGGGACTCGCCCTACTCCCTTCAGGTCCCTGAAACTGGGCGGAGTTTGGGCAGCGATCCCTGTTTCCCAGTTTGCGCGCATGCCAAGCGGGGTCTGTGTGCTTTGGGGATTAGGGATTTTATTTCATAGTTTTCTCAATTTATTTATGGGGCGTCTTAATGAAGGTTGATCTTGGTGCGATCTTTGATGAGCGATTGCTCATTATTTGTCGTTGGCGACAGCCAACTTTGAGGGCGGTTAGCAGTTCAATATTCATAAGGATGAATGTGTTGTTGTTTCACTGATCGTAGAGGTGTTTTGTTGTTAGAAGCTCAAGTTTTCCAGGAACTTATCTTCCAGATGCTTCTTCCTAAAGAGAAGCGTCTGAAAGAAGATTAGTTCCAGAAAAACTTGGCGATGGTCAGTTGTTCAACTCGTTAAAGTTCAAGATTCGTTCCTTAGCGCCACTGTTCCAGGGCATGAACTTTTTATCTGTGAAACTCACCAGAAATTCAGTTCATGTGGCTTAGAACCATCGGCTCTCCTATTCCGGTGTTATTTCAGTGGTTCAAGGGGTTTCTTGGCTCCATTGAACTTCACTTACTTTATTCAAGCCTGGAAATGCCGCGAAAAATGAGGAAAACTCGTGGAGTTTGAGAAACGTCAGGAGCAAATTGCTACCGACAACGGTGTTCTTTTAAACCAGACCAAGTGGAAAATGTTGTTGATGTTCCAACTTTATGCAAAAGTAAACGAAAACCCTGGAAATGGTGAAATGGGGATGCAGTTTGTGGGTGGAAAGCGTTTTTGCGATTTACGGCGAAACGTGATCACCGAGCGGAAAATGTTCAACAAAACTTGTGGAGAAGACAAAAATCTAAAACTTTTGTATTTAACACTTTATGACATAACCTCAAATTAACCGTCCAAATGGAGAAAAACCTATTTTTCAGAATTTAATTTTTTTCTTGTGCATAAGTGAGTTGATTTACTTGACAATTTGTGAAAGTATGTCTTTTTGGTGCTGAATAGGCATGAGGTTTTTGTAGTTCAGAAAGCGACTAGTTTTCGAGTTATGTGCATTTTTGGAAAAAACTACCCTTATCTTCCGCGAACAATTGTCTTGATATTTTTTCGATTTCGAAAGTAAATAAGTGCTCGTCTATGTGAAGTGGTGGTTTGTTTATCGTTAAACCGGTGAAAATTTCGAAAAACTGAAAAGTCTCCCTGAATCATGACTTATTCAATATTTTCAATAATTATTCGATTTTGCAATGCTTGCAATGTTGCAACTATGATTAGAAATCTATTTGAAATCCACTCTTATGACCACCTTCGTATGACCTTAAGTGGACCTTCGAAATGCAGAAAAATACCAAAGCAATGTTTGTGGAAGAAAAGGGTAGTTTTTTGGAAAAATGTTCATAACTCGAAAACTAGTAGCCTTCTGAACTACGAACCGAAGCAACACCACAAATACATAATTTTGCAGATCTTCAAGTAAATCAAATCATTTATGCGCGAGAAAAAATCAAATTCTGAAAAATCATGTTTTCGCCATTTTGACGCTTAATTTGAGGTTATGTCAAAAAGTGATAAATACAGAAGTTTACGACTTCTTTATTATCTACAACTTTGCCATTGAACGTTTTCCGCCAGGCGGTCACGTTTCGCCGCCACTCGCGAAAAACCGTCTTCAACACCCAAAACTGCATCCCCATTTCACCATTTCCAGTGATTTCGTTTATTTTTGCGTAAAGTTGGAACCTCAGCAACATTTTCCACCTGGTCTTTGCCCGCCATTTTTTTCTGATTTTGATGATTTATTACGTTTCATTTTGTTGTTCTCTTAAAGCTCTTAGAGGTCTGTTCACGTTGGAACGCTTTCTTCCACGTTTCTTCAG